CTGTGGAACTTGTGGTGGCAGATGTCCAGCTCGAGGCAATCGTCGGCCTCCTCCAAGTCCTTCCCACACACTCGACAGTTGAGATCGTCGATGCTGGCCCCAATACCCTCTCGAGCACTCCTAATGATCTTCCCGAGGCCCTTGAGTCTGCCCAAGAGAGCCTCTACACAACGGGTAACTCTTCCCTCTTCACCTGACTGTGACGTCCTCTACCTCCACTGGAGGCAACCCATCCTGGCTAGTCTGAGGCATCGTGTCCAAGCAGTCAGGCAATCTGACCACTCCAAAGGTGCCTAAGTTCACTCCCCAGTCGCAGAGCCCCCCTGGTATGAGTCGCTACTGTGAGGGATGCCCATGGCCTTCTTCTTGGTGGTACCGCCTTGTGGACCCGCCGACTCCTCTACTCCCATTATACTCAATCGATTGACTTCAAGCCATCGTATCAAACCTAGCCATAAGAACGTGCTGCCCTCGAAGAGCACATAGATTTACCCTCAGGTCCTCGACACTCCTCCTCAAGGGCTCGTAATAAAGGGTTCTCAATACCTTCCACCTTAGGCGAGATAGTAGCAATACTATACACCGGCGGGAAGGCTACGTAGACCTTGAAAGCCAGGAGGTACACAGTAGTCAGTGAATGCCCCATCCTACTGCCCTAGAGTGGCCTGTTGCTCCGCTGACCTGACGGCAGCCCCCCGCCTCACACACATTGAACCCCTCCAGCCGATACTTCCTTCCTCCAGCCCTGAGGGACCAATCAGCTCAACCGAGATCGACCCCAAGAGGGGCTCCACCGGAAAACAACCGTGGAAGGGCGCTTGTCCTTCGGCAGGTCGAATTGTTTCCGCAGCTCCTTCTGGACGCCTTCATCATAGGCCACTTTACCATTGGATGTCTTGTACGAAAAGAAAGGCACTTTACGTTGGGTCTGGCCGTCCGAGGCGCATGTCAGAGAAGAATCCTGAGGGCACAGAGTACCCTGTTGCCTCCTGTGTCACATACCAAAGAGTGCCGCGGCCGAGCACTCGGCACATCAGGAGTAGTTGGTTGACTTCGAGGCCCCAGTCGAATCTTGGAGAATAACTTGCGAGCGCGAGAAAGCACCGAGGAGCTAGATGTGCCTAAAACCACCAGATTGCAGAGGCGTGTGGTACTGGGAGCTCCCCATTACGTTTAAGGCCAATATGGAAGAATGCGGCAGGTGATCCGACCTTACAGCCTACGATGTCCTCTACAGCAGTGGGCTTCTGTGCCTCAATGGGCGGCTGGGGTGATGTGCATCTCACTGGACGAGTGCGTAGGGAGTGTAGATTAAGTTGGACCTGGGAAAGGCTACAATACAAACATAACGACTCAAGGAGGGATCGAACCTTCGCCTACAGGTCTACATGCGCGCGCTCCACCAACTCAACTACACGAACTACACACCTACCCCATAGCACTACCGTTCCACATCCCATCAGTCTTGTGGAGTCCCTCGACAGGGCGTTTTCCACGAGATGAAAGTTTTCCATGACGTACACGTTAGAGGAGGTAGAGAAGAAGAAGCGCCTCGGTATCGGGCGAAGGTCATGCAGAGCCCGCAGCTCTTCTTGCTGTGCCCCTTCGAACTCCTGCCACTGACCATCGTCGCCCAGGTACTCAAACCTACCCATGCCCATCGCCGCAAACCACACGCCCTTTGTACTCACTTCTTCTCCATCACAGACAATTCTGGTGAACAATCGCGCGTCTCTCTTGACCCACTGGGCTCTTCGGACAGCCCCAGATCATCTCCGGGTTTCCCAGACGGCTCCATCATCACCCTTTTCCTAGAGTCCCTCAGCAGCCTAGGCCCTACTCGGACATGTCGGCAAAACCCAGTGCGCAAGTTCCTCTGCACGGCCAAGCCAAATCTACCGTCGAGACGAAGTGAGCCTTCCAAAAACTGAGCCATGAGGCGCTCACTCGATCCTGTCAAAGGCCTGGATGACATAAAGACTGGAGTTGTGCTGGAACTGCAATTCCCTTCGTGTGCTTCTGCGGGATGCCCTTTCTGAACGAGAAGCTCCCGATCGCGGATTCCCCCATCCCTCCTCCACACTGATCTTACTCAGAGTGAGTTCTTCCTCGTCCTTATTACTTCCCTCATCCAATGCCCGTTTACTGTAGTAGTGTCGTTGTATATGCCTGAATGACTACTATAGTACTCCACATGCAGTCTCATTAGGACCCTTCTTAACCCCAATAAGCGTGAGGTACAATATAACCCTACTACTACTACTACTATGCCTTGCCAGATTACTACCTCTGTATAGCCGGCTCAAATGGGAGGTACCGGGAACCATCCCAATACTCAAAGTACAAAAGTGTATGACTAGTAAGGGTAGTAGCCCGGTCGTGCATGCATTGACACAAACTTTATAGGAACTCAGGAACAAGCCATCCAGATAAGAGCCCACCCGAGGTTAGCACGAGCCCCCACTGTAAGGTAGAACAAAAATCTGTCAATACCGCATGAAACACATCGTACGGCCCAGCCGACTACACTTCCCCTCTCTCTATTTTGGCTCGGATACGCTCCATGTCCCGCACTACCCCGTTAAAAGCACGCTGAAAAGAGAACACATACGAGCAAGGTAGGCAGACCTCATTAAATGACCCTGTGTAGACGAACACTACCAACTTCTTACACCATTTACTCTATCAATGACAATAATCGTCGACTTTTTCGCAGGAATTTCGATTCCGACTTGAGCGATAAACCACCACATAAGCTCAACATCAATCCTCTCCACGCAAAGACTGCTGACTTCCACTGTCTTACTAAGGGTTCGACGAGACACGCGACTTCTATGGAGGCTCGTGATGAGTTAAAATGATATGATAGTCTATGGAGTGAATCTCCGAATGATATTTGAACTGTCAATACCTGTATTAGGCTCAATATTCTATGCATAACGATATAACAATACTATAATGGAGTTTCACCCGTTTTACGTGAAGTGGCGTAAGACTCGATGTGAAAAAGCGATATTCGCGGTATGTAGTAGTCGTGAAATATGTTTTTTTACATCACGGAACTCCAATGATCTACATACAAGTACTATATAGAGGGAAGCAGTTCGAGAAGCATCCCAGAGGCATCATACAATGCTTAATCCTCACCGTGACAACCCATAAGCGCACATGTAGCGTTCGGCTAGGGATGCCTAGTCATTCTAGTACAGAGATGAGCACTGGACCACGCTGAGCCCCTCTGACTTCAAAGTCGTTTCAAAAAGTGGAGAACTAAGGATGACTACTGCTAGACCGTCCATGGTATCGCGGCGAGACTTAGTCTACTACCAGTCTCGTATACCATTGATACTGATGAGTGATACGCTCAGATGTAGCATGTAACTCGTTAATTGAATTGAGTCTACTACCAGTCTAGTAGTATCCTTCTCATAGTTAACAGCTACCATGACGGTCAGAGCTCCTACTATCATTGACCCGAAGAGGATAGGCCCAGCACGTGCCTTAGGGAGCTTGTCCACTTGCCGTTGGAGGAACCCCATGTTGAGGAAAACTGAAACTGCTCAATGAGGCGCCACGACAGTGACGAGATTACCAATCAGTGCCACAGAGACGGATCTTCAAAAATAATCGATCAGTCGGGCGAGCGCTAATGGCGTTAAGTGAACTTCCAAGTGAGGAGACCTGGAGCAGGTAATAGATGGACGAGACTTGGCTTGGTGCGGCAGAGGGTATGCGATGATCAATCTTCGGTTCTTGGAGGGATTGACCACCTCAGAGAATTTGAATAGTTGAATCGAGGTGCTTACTGTTCGGATGGATTAGTGGCTTATTTGAGCACCACTCCAGCTGCATGTGGATGTGCGAGATGTCATCTGTGGGGATCGAACCTGCGTGGTCAGGTTGTTGCAAGTCACCCAAAGTTTTCTTCCAACTATGCGACTCTTCTTCGGGAGCTCTAAGAAGAAGGAGCAGCAGGCCCAGAAGGCCCCTCCGTCCAAAGTACCCTCGGGCGTCTTGGGCGAATCCTTGCTGAGTGAGCTGGGACTCTTGTCAGAATCTTCCCGATGCTATCATGAAGAACAAAGAGGCCATAGCCACTTTGGAAAAGAGGGAGCAGCTCATTGAGAAGAAAATGGCGTTGCAGGAGCAAGACGCACGTGGGACTATCCACTTACCCGATGGAGACGCTCATCCACTCTGTGGGGCCCTCAGGGACTCGTGCCGCGGCCAAGGACAAGCGGGGTGCCTTGATGGCTCTGAAGCGAAAGAAGATGCTCGAGACTGAACTGACAACTCTGATGAATTCACGTGAGTATCAAAGGCCGTATTGAGCCAAGAGAATTGATGCTGTTTTGTGGCGCCTTGTAGGGATGACATTAGAGCAGCAAATTCTGTCCTTGGAGTCGAGTCAGACTACAGCGGTGGCAGTGTCGGCCCTGGCCACGGGCGTGTCAGCTCAGAAGGTTATGAACCAACAGCTCAATATTGACAACGTACGTCTTGGAGAGCGGGGCCTAGCTGTAGTGTATTCGTCACTGTGTTGATTTCAGATTGACGTCCTCATGGATGACATGCAGGAAATGCAGGACATGCAAAATGAAGTTGCCAACGTATTTCCGACTACCTCCCTTGTTCCCCCCAGGCTGGGGACCTTATGGTGCTAGGTGCTCGCCGGTGGTAACACTGTGATGGACGATGAGGAGCTCCTCAACGAATTGGACGAAATAGAGGCGCAGGAGCTTGAGGCCAAGATGGTCGATGTAGGCTTGATGCTTGTACCTCGCTGTGATTTGATTTCATATTAGGCGGCACACGTCCCTTCCGGAGGAGTCGTGGCCCAGCCGGATGTTGCCGTGCCCTCGGTGCCTGCCCAATCGCAGCAATCAACGGCAGAGTCTTCTAGGGCTCAGCGGAATGGTAGGAGTATAGGGTGGTCCGTATCAATTTGGCCATCGTTCGAGATGGTGTGGTATGGGATAGCTGGGAATTAGGCTCATGTATAGTGGAGTTATTGGCTTTGATTATACTATTTGTGTCAGATGGCCTAACAGATGAGGAGGCAGACCAGCTGGCCGCCCTACAAGCTCAGCTTGGCTGAGATCCTCGTGGACCACATACCGTACCATTGACAATTCATTCTATCAACATCATTGGTGCGCCCTCTAGGAGGGCGGGGCGTTGCTAGCGAGGCTTGGCACATTTCTGTATTCAGCATGTCCGTCCTAATGAGATTGGCCGATTCGACTTCTCTATAAACCTCATAGGTTACTATAAGCCATAATTGGTGTCGTGTTATGGGTAGGAGAGGGAGGGAGGTTGACCTTGCGTTGCTCGGTAGGCATCTCTTCTTGGTAATGTCGGTCGTTCCGGTGAATCCCCAACCTTTCCTCAATGACCTCACTGGGCAGGAGGTAGACATTGAGGAATCCTGAGGTTGAGCGGGTAAGATACGATCGAGGTCAGGTACTGGTTCGTCTGAAGTGGGCAACACTCGAGCTGAAGGGCCGCTTACAGAGTGTTGATACTTTCATGAATCTCAGACTGGACCACTGTGAAGAGTGGCAGGTAGTATATGCATCATCACAGCTGCTATTATATCTCTTAATTTCAGAGTGGTAACTTCAAAGGAGCCCTCGGAGACGTTCTTATACGGTAATAGGTTGAACCATTTCGGTACTGAGTTTGTCTCGGTGGTCTCACCCGTCAGCAGTGTGGGGGGGGATTTACGGGGTTGGTGACGATGTGAAACTTTGAGAAAGTTTCGGGTAGTTGTTATTGGTTTTAATCAATTCTCGCCCGATTTCATGTGTGAATTTTGGAGGCTTCTGAGCTCCGCCGGCGAAAGCGAACATACAGGGTGTCTCAAGAAAAAGGGAAAAACTCTGACACCATCTGAAAGTCCTTCACAAGAGCTTTCGATCGGTATGGGATTTTTCTGAATATTCGACTTGCACGAAAAGTCATTCGTAAAGCACATTTTCCTTTGGACACTCTGAGTATTCCTGCACAGCCCGTCGAGTGGCATCCTCTCCGGTCTTGAAGTTGCTATCTGTCCAGTCTCGATAGTCCTATCAGGTGTAACAATGTTCTGTATGTACGAGCAGCAAGCTCCAGTGGAGCAGGGGAAGAGCTGGAAGACTGATCGTGATAACAGCTGGGTCTGCAGTCTCTTATGGTTCTTTTATCATTAGGTTGGTGAGAATCAGAGTTCTATATAACGTTAGTGTGGAGAGAGTAGGAGAAGATGATTGGGAAGTAGCTGAGGAGTGGTATTGCTATTTTCTGGGATATTTCCGTCACATTTTCTGTCCGTGTTTGTCAATCGGAAACTGTGGATCTTGTGTGGGGAGTAGCAGTCGATTTGGCATGTCCCAATCAGCTCCTCTAGAAGTGAAGCTCGACACACTGCGAGGGAAGGCGTGAGGACACTTGCTGTGTTCGAGGCTGACATGGCGGCGCTGTAGATACGCCTCGCGGAATGCGAATGATTACAGTATTCATTCTGGCAGCGGCCTTTGGATGTGCGGCGATCGACCTCTCGTTGACTGGCAGTTGACACTACGGCAGACCAGGTGGTCTTGGGAAGGTTTGGAAGGTTTTTTGAGGCGGCTCCTCAGACGCCCTTTGGGTCGATTTGTGTCGCCAGAGCGAGCCCCGACTATGCTAGGTTGTAGCAGAAGGTCTATCTCTGGTAAGAAGAGCGATTGTGATAGTGCGCGGTGCAGGGATCGAACCTGGGACCTCTCGGTGCCGGAGGAGAGCCTTCATATTGATGAGCAATATAAGGATTGCAAATACGGCAACATAGCTGACTGTTGGTCGATGGTCGGCAGTGTGGCGGCCAACAGGTTCACCCCTAAGGACTCAGTAGGAACCCTCAAGCTGTCTTGTCATGTGAATGTATACTACTCTATTATACTTATGTACCCTACTACCCGATACGGCTCATGAAGAGATGCTTTCATCGCGGTTCAGGTGCATTGGCAAACCAACTTGCGTTCGGACGTAGCCGAGCTGGGGAAGGTTCGTCGATAGCTTTTGAGGGGTCCTCATGGGGGTGCCTTTAGAGCCCTTGCTGGCGACGGTATCATCAGCGATCGGCTGTTAGCTTTGATCGTATAAAAGAGAACAGTATTCGGGAGGACCGAAATGACGGGCGGCAGGTGAGTCTGGAGGGGAGGTAGAAGGCAGTAGGATGGTGCGGCGTTGTAGGAGACGACCCCCATTGACCGGGTGCCGGACAGGCGGTCGGGCGCACTGCCGATACGCCATCTTAGAGAGGACCTTCCTTACGACTCAACACGGTAGTAGTAGTGGTGGCAGGGTGGGAATAGGCACATCGTCAACTACATGTAGAAGTTTTTACTGGTTTCTGTACACTTCCATCGTAACTCGTATATGAATTCTTCTATAATTGGTATAGAAACTCTTGAGAACAGCTGAGGAAATCAAACATATATTCCAACACTGAGGAAATAATAATAATGGTTGTGGTTGGGTCGACCTACGAGGGCTGGGTAGGTATCCCGGCTGTGAAGGGACAGTACTGCAGAATTGGAGGCATCTTGTGCATCCTGGCAAGACTCGCACTATGCTGCGGCATGAGACTACTTTACGGGGCATGTCCGACAGTCGCTCGGAGGAGTGCCTGGTGGACTTTCTGGGCAAGAAACGATGGAACTTTGCCAGGACGCGAGATGGTATAACAAAAATCGACCCAAGGTTGAAGTAAGTGTCTTTACTAGGGGTATGTGGTAGAATATGTGACGATAGGGATAATGAATTGGTATTTTATATTGTATAGTAAGCACTATGCATGGGCTTTGGGTGGGATAGGGTGTTCCTGTTCAGTGTTGGTTGGTCAAGCAGGTGAGCGTGCTGTATTTTTCCGAGATTAATGATAATGAACAGCTGGTCGCTATCGCAGTCTCGGAGGTTTACTTTTATCACCTCACATGCTCATAGCAATGTTTACAATAGAGTTCCACCCGTTTTACGCGAAGTGGCGTAAAACTCGGTGAAAAACGCGATATTCGCGGTGATATGCAGTTGTCGTGAAATGTATTTTTCATATCACTAGGGTGAAACTCCATTGTTTATGCGATCCAGTTTCAGAGCGATTCTTATTATTCTCGAGGAAATTTTGCACATTTGCATATCAAATTGACAAGCACTGAACTATGGGGAAGTGAGGGCCTCTTGTAGGTATCTTTCAACCCATAGGATCCAAGCTGAACCTCGGGACGCTCCTCTGTCTAGAACACGCCGTTTGGGCGGCCCTATTCTTATCAACAACGATGTGCCGGTATGACTTTTATCGAGAGTACTGTTGTGCTGGTGGTTTTTTCACGCGCCACGAAATTGAGATTCAGCGATTGCTGATGCATGGCTACAGTCTTCTGCATAAAGGGCTGTGAACATTGACTTGAGTAGAAGATCGTCTCACGCTCCATCGCGACTGCGAGCCAGCGGTGTAAGGGTGTCGGCCTATAAGAGGCCTCCTGAGCGGGCAGTGAATTCGACTAGCGGTAGGGGGTGGGTGGAGACGCCGAATCTTGTGTGATGTAGGAGTGCTTAGATGGGCCTTCTAGTGAGGATGGCGCCGCTGAGGAGAAGAGGGCTTCTAGGAGGTTACAGAGGCTGCAGGGGCTTACCCTACCTATCAAGTCTAGTGAGGCGGCGCCGTGCCTTGGACTGAAATCAGAAGGGGTGCTTAGGTGCTCGCCACATGGTGTATGCTCATCTAGAGGAGCCCTCCTTGCACTGGATAACCCTTAATGTCTATCGCTTGTACAACATCCTCATTGTCATCAGCGTTATAACTTCGGTACGACTTGTCGTATGGCGCGTCGGTGTTGGTGATTCCTGTTGCCGGACTAGGGTGGGCTTGGTTCCTCTGAGTTCTTGGAAAATGAGTGATCCCGTTTTATATGCAATACTATACACTGTTTAGGTGCTGGTCACTTTGCCTGTTCCCGATACGTTGGCCTACGACACTCGGGATGGCTTGGAGGTTGCCGAGACAGTCTTCAACGTTATCTTCCTCTTGGAGATAGTGGTGAGTGCCAAGCACTCGGCGTGGTGTTCACTAGACCCCTCCGGAGCTCCAGAAGCGCTCCCAGGATTGGATCTCACATGTGGAACTCAATCCTGGGAGCGCTATTGAAATTCAGAAAGAGTCTAGTGAACACCCCGACTGTTGTGGACATGGGAAATGACCTTCTGTGCTACTCAGCTGCGCTTGGCGACGTCTCCTCATCTCCTCCGAGCCCTTTGGGAACCGTAGTGAAAGACTGCGAGTTCCTCGATCGGAGCGATCAGAGCCAGATACAACGCGCTGGACATGATCGTCGTATTGCCGTACGTCCCAGTGTGGGTGGGCATCGACAGGGCCGATAATGAGATCGTCAAGCTCATCCTCTACCTTGTGAGTCCTGCTGTGTGTATATAGAGTTACCCCTTGATCAGGTGCCGGCCATGCGAATGCTGAAACTGACGCGTTACAGCACTGGCTGGCGACTTCTGGTCATCAGCCTGTCCCTCAGCATGGATGCTCTCAGGGTAGGCCTTCCCAGCTCGATAAGATTCTATTTCGGCTCTTGTGTAACCAGCCATGAGGTTTTGAATATTCCTTTGGAAGGAAACGAGCAAACTAATCTGTGGCGGTTGAGAAAAGCGCGCGCCCTACTCGCCCTCTCCTTAGGTGCCCATGCTGATGTTGATATTCCTGGTGACATGGTTTGCCTCGATCATATACTGGGTGGAAGACGTTACCTTGCCCGACACAGCCCGACCTGCTGCTGCCTTCGCCTCTCTCCCTCATGCCATGTGGTTTTCTATAGTCACCATCAGTGAGATCTCGCTCGCCCTAATGACCACGGTTCGATTATCATGTTAGGTACTGTGGGATATGGTGATACGGCTCCGGCAACTGATGGAGGTACTGGCTGGCAACAGCGTCACGCGCCACGAAATTATGGTCGTTAGGCCGGGCCATCTCAGCCTTGCTCATCATAGTCGGCGCCTCCTACATGGCCCTGCCGTTGAACATCGTCGGGTCAACCTTTTGGGATGTGTGGACCGACCGGTAGGACCAGCTATGGGCAGGGGACCTGGTGATGGCATACGGGTTAGCGACAAGCTCCTCATCATTGACAAGATCCAGCAGAGGCTCTCAAGGAGGCGAATAACGCGAGATCGACTTTACGAGGTTAGTCGTGGTGTTAGATGATTTCAGCATGAGAGTGTGAACAGGTATTCGCGACTATGGACGAGGATGGTTCGGGTGTCATTGACATTACTGAGTTCGAGCACATGCTGAATCGCCACTTTAGGCTGGGCATGCCGACTCACAGCATTCTGCGTCTGTTCCGGTAGGTTGTAGCCGTTCTGTAGAAGTAGTTTGTTTTTGTCAGTACCATTGACGCTGATGGGGAAGGGAAGATATCATTTGATGAGTTTTGCAGCTGCCTGTTTCCCGAGCTGGTCAATCCTGAGATGTAAGGCATTAGTGATAGCATCCTCTGTCTGTGGGAAATTCCTACAGCTGTCCGCTATAGCGCTGGGAGGAAACATAATTGGAAACCGTTGTGGGGTTCGCATCTTTTTCTTTTTCTTTTTCTTTTTTTTTTTCTTTTCCTTTTTATCTTTATTTTTTTTTAGTTTTCTTTTGCTTTTTCTTTTTCTTTTTCTTTTTCTTTTTCTTTTTCTTTTTCTTTTTCTTTTTCTTTTTCTTTTTCTTTTTCTTTTTCTTTTTTTTCTTCTTGCACAGCACCCCTTCGACCAGGCGAGTAGTACCTGGTATAGGGGTATAGCTGCAGGTTCAGTTAGTGCCTGAGCCCTGGTATCAACCAGTGTGATCCGCGGCAGACAGTTCGAAAAGCTTCGCATCTCAGCAGAGTATGTGCCTTATTACACCCGTTTTACGCGAAGTGGCGTAAAACTCTGTGAAAAACGCGATATTCGTGAGATATGTTTTTCACTAGTGTTTTTCATATAGAGGGTGAAAATCAATTAATACTGCTGATGTACACGCTCTCGAGGAGTGTTGGGATATATGGTCGCTCTCTTCAGCTCAGGAGTTTCCTCACTGATTATAGGAGTTTATATACGAATTAGAGGAGAAGTGCACAGAAACCAATAAGAATTCCCTCGAAATTTTCACACATGCAGCTGAGCATGTGCATATTTTTTCCCACTGCTCCTGGGACTGCTGGCCCCCACTTATCCCCTTGTCAGGTCCTTCCCAACTAGGGCGTCGATTTCCCGCAATCACCGGGGTAGTGTCTGTCACCTCCACTTTGATTAACCTGTTTTCTCAGCATCCTATGCCAGCAGTGGAAGAGCCTCTGTGATGCGGGTGGTTCCTGATGATGATTTCGACCCGCTAGAAGCCGAGATAGAGGCATCGAAAGCTGGTAAGTCGACAGTCACCATTCGCTGGCTATTCTTCGATCAGGTGCGGCTAGGGTCGGTCCTTCTGAAGGGCAGTACTTGAGGGAACTGGAAGATACCAAGGCGGCGGAGACAGCTCACTATGCGGCTGTCCTTGCTCGGGTAGGGTGGACCGGAAGACTGGACTTAGCTGTGCTGAAGTGCTGGTTGACGCAGCTTAGCCGTTTCGAGCGAGAATTGGAGTCGACCCGACGGGATATGAGAAGGATAGCCGAGGTTGTTGAGGGGATAGCTGAGAGCCTGAGGGTAAGCAACAGCTGCGAGTGGCACTTGCTGTAGAGGATGCGAAATGATGGGCACAGTCGGGGGCGCTTGGGGTTAACGGCGTCTCGGGAAGGTCTTGCTAGTACTACCTATCTCCGTGTTGGGTAATTAAATACAGTAGTTGAGTAATGTAGTCTTCAGAAATGGCAGTTTTGATACACGAAATTGGGCCGCTTAGGCTCAATAGTGCCCACTCTATATGAATGCCCTGGCGCTTGAGTCTTGTGTCGTCTTTAGGGAAGAGACCACCGCGGGGGCGCCGTCCATACTGACGATCCTGTCAACGTCGAGGATGTCATATTCCAGCAGCGAGTGGGATACCTTCCCTATGGAAGGTAGTGTTCGACTTGCCATTGCTCAGGTTTGACGACCCGGCTTCCCAGCGCTACTCTTTCCAAGTCATCTGCATGCATGCTACCTCTTGTCACTATTACTTTGACTATCGTCTTGTCGACATTTTTTGTCTTTGCCGAGGCCAGCTGTTGTCACTATTATAGTGTTATCATTTTCGTCCATGCTCCCCGAAACCAGTCCGATGTTGCCGCCTTCCACCTCCCGGGCAAGTCTAACCCAGCACGACGCCCGTGGCTCTGTACTAGGTGCCGCTGCTCCATCAGTGCTGGCAGCGGAGCCTGGAACGGTAAGGCTGGTTTTGGTCACTCGGTAGTGGATATCTCAGCAGGCGATTACCGGAAGTGGTGACAACAGGCAGGATCGAAGAGTGAGGTGTCACCATTACGTAGCGATCATTGTTGCTATTGTCAGTTTTCGGTTTACGCCCCGAAGGCCGTCAACGTCCCGCCGAGTCAGGGCGGTCCATCCGCGACGTTCTCGCTACCGTCACCGCTCTTAATGCAGCATTTCTTGCCGCAGCCTCAAGCTAGTGGGGGCATGTATAAAGTGCAAGTAACAGACATAGGAGCTTTCCAGACGAGAATAAGCCTTTCAGAGCTTTTCCACCACTCTTCAGCGGGCTTCCAGTTCCACCGCGGCGTTGCTAGCTGGAGGGGTCTCTACTGAGGGAAGCACTCCAGGTAGCGGTAGTGTATAGACTGGGCCGCGACGTGATTGCTGTTGTTCAGGTCTCCACACTTACGCTCAGAGGCTGCAGACCCCAGAGGACACCCCTAGATTGTCCATCACATCGCTTCCAATGCAAGGTGTCTAGGCACTAGTCTGGGAGGCACTGCATTCTATAGAGGTCGTTTTGTCAGGTATGAACTCCCTGTCTGACCTGCTGCTTTGCACTGCTCGAGGACCACCTGCTCCTAGCTTGGCGGGACCACCGCCTCCGGCAACATCTACTGTCGTGGCGAGAGGGGGAGGGGCTTCAATGTCGTACCCGGTAGGGCCCTCTCCGATTAGTCATTTAGCGTATCTGCTCCTGTTCAGGTGAGGCGACTAAGTACGGAGCAGCTAGAAGCCGCAAGAGGCGATCCCAGGGTGGCATCGTTGAGTTGCCATCCTTGTCGTGTATGGGGTTGTTGTGCTCTAGGTAGCGCTAGTGGCGCGTAGAGCTCAGAAAGCTGCAGGAAGGGAAGGAGCGCCTGTGCTCCAGGGGGAACCGATTGAGGCCTGCAGTAAGGTGCTCGACACTGCGTCTGCAAGCAACAACTACAATGCTAAGGAAATGGCTAGGGTCATGGTGAGTGTATATGGGGAGCTTTTGGATTCTGAAAACGACTTGAGAATTTTCTTGAAAATGAAATTCGACGAGATCGGTTTTTTCCTGGCAGGAGGAGAATGCTAGTTTGAGGCGGAGAGTGAGCACGCTGGAGAGAAAGTTGGCGGACCTACAAGCTGAGCTCGAGGTTAAGGATCGTCTATTAGAAACAGCAAAGATCAGCACAAATGATGGAGATCAGACGGAGCGAAACACACCGAATCCAGCAAAATTATCCAACAGCTCCAAGCAGTGTAGGACAGCAGGGTCGGTCTGTCCTCTTCATTTTCTCGCGCGCCCGACTGTTAGTGTCGTGGGCGTGGAATTACTGACAAGCCGTGGATGCTTGGTGGCAGTCATGCGTGTAGGCATCGCCAACTTGTTGTATTCTCCTTAGAACCCATTGAGAAGGTTCTCGTGAAGAACGGAAGCCAAGTTGTCTCCTGTGGTCGGAGTTAGTCCTCTATCATGTCTAGCCATGGTGAAGGAAGTCGTTGTCCTGTGGCAAGCGTGTATGTGTCTGCTCACGCCTCGAGTTGGCTGTTTGTCAATACGTCGATGGTGGTGTTGGAGTATATGTTCGCTTTACTCAGCTGAGCTCAGGAGTTTTCTTCCTAATTGTAGGAGTTTATATACGAATTTAAGTGTAAATGTACAGAAACCAATAGGAGTTTCCCAATAATTCCCACCAACTGGAGCACACACACATAGTTGCTCTTGTGGGTATTTTCCCATTCGTTCAGTAAAGGCGTTGTATCCTCAAATAGGACAGTAGTGGCGGAACGACATCATTGTATCCGTTTTCTCATGCAACGAGAATTGCTGCGAGCCCTGTGGCTTCGTATCACAACAAATCATACCATACGTGGACGTATGGTCAGCTCGGGCCGTTGGTTGTCGAATTTGATATTGTGCACCGTAGTTGGACGATTCTGTCGTAGTCGACGACTTCGTTCAGTCCTAGGCTCCACCGGATCCTGGAGCTCCAATATTCCCTATTATACTCTCTTATTGCTATTGGTGATCGTTAGTCCAAAGCCCTCGACGAAGTCTGAAATGAACGGCATTCAACTTTACTCGCTTGCTGGTTCACCCCGAACACTCTACCATACTTTTGTTGAATGTCTGTTGTCCAATAACATACATGGAACAACTTCGTTTTCTAATCTCGAACAGAAGCAGAATATTCCATGTACGTTACGGAGCTCGTTCGTTTGATATCATCCAGTTGGTCCTCCTTGCTATGGTCCAGGAGATCACTTCGTTTGTCGGCATGGAGGACGTCACCACCGACTTGGTAAGCTGTAGAGGCTGCATGGACACTTGAGGCTGCGGGCGTCAGTCGCGCTTCTGTAGATTCTTCAAGTCCTCAAGGCAACCATCAAGACTGATGATGAGTATGATGCTAAAAAGGCGCAGGAATGGGCAGATCAGATAGGGCTCAAAATAGTGTCCAAGCTGAAAGTAGGCATCAGACCGCACTCTGCCGTAGTTGACCCAAGAAAAGTCTTGGAATATGTGATCGCTTTTTTCAGCTAAGCTCAGGCGTTGGCTCGCTAATTATAGAAGTTTACATACAAATTCGGTAGATATGTACAGGAATCAATGAGGATCTCTAAAAAACTCCTCAAGGTTTTATATTGTCCTCAACACATGTAGTTGATCGTGTGCATATTTTACCATACGTCACAAGAATGGCACATTGCCTATTCGGACGATAAAGTAGCTCTGGTCACAATTGCTGATGGGCGTTGTTGTCCGTACAAATGTGCTTTCAGGAAGCGAGCGACAACTTCAAATACGTAGTGTCTGTTACAATTCAAGAGAAAGGTGCGGGGTAGGTCCCACTTACGGTGGTGGGCGACGCTGTATTATCCAAATTAGATTGCACCACTCGGCGACGTGCCACTGGGACTCCTCAGCTGATGGCTCCGTCACAGTAGGCCATAGCTTCCTCTGGTCCTGTCCAATTAATATTCACTTTTCAATATAAATAGATATAATAGTATATGAACAATAATAAATAGGTTAACGTATAATGATACACCCATGGATACAGAATATAATATCGATATTAATTGATGTATTTATACACATAGTGGGCTCCTGATAGGTACGCTGGGACCAATCCTTGAACATGGACGTGGTCATCACTGTATTCGCATTAGCTCTCTAAACACACTGAAATTGTTGTGTTGCTGATAGTCGGGAATGGTCACTGAGATCCTCCGATGGTAGAAGACTGACAACACATCCTTTATTGCCTCGGAGTACTATCCGAAGCATGAGAGAACAAACCGCTAATGTGAACTGTTCACGAGTCATCTATCGATCGCATGCACTTTGCATGTTGCATCCAAAAACTACCGTGGCGAAGTAATCTCTCATGCGGTTCTTTTCCAACTCGCTTATCTACAGCCTGTAGACTACAGGCCAGCACGGTGGGCACGTCGCCATTCTGATTCTGGCAGGCCAATACGGTCTCTTTCGGAAACTCCATCCGTAAATTGAGCTTCGAATTGATGGGCTTCTGGAGCGGACATCGACGTCCCCTGTTCATATAGATAGACGCTGCAGTTGCCTTACACAGTTCCTCACGCGTATACGATGTTCACTCAACAGAATTGAATATTTCCTTCCGGATGCTGCGGCGCAGTCCTTGGCAACTACATAGTGGATCATAGCTAGTCCAACAGTTAAGTCTAATATTGAACTTGATCTACACTTCGGCAGACTGAGATCGAGATTAATCGAAGGCATCCCTTCAGAGGTTGTTGTGTGACTATTCTGATGGTCAGAAGAGGTATTCGAGGTACTGACAACCGTCAAGCTACCTATGGTGAAACTATAGTCAATAAAAGGAGGCACAGCGTCGATATCCCACTAGCGTCGTTGTCTTGAATCGACTGACGCTCTAGGTGCAGCGGAGATGTGAAGGTCGATGACGATCCGGATGGATCTGATGGATGCCTACGAGGATCCTGAGAAACAACCCCACCGCGATCTCCTAGAGATACTAGTCCAGACTTGTTCGAATGTCTAGGTCCCACCATACTGGATGCTCAGCGTGACAATAGACAACTTGTTAGATGTGATACGATGTAGCTATACGATGCTACGAAGATAACCAATCAGAACAGATCAGATCTATTCAAGTCCAGTCCACAGTTGAACTTGCAAATGGACTTCAACTCTGAGAGTCTTCTTCAGGGCTTTGCCTGACAACGGCAATAATCATATTATTAGCTTTATTGAAACACTGCGTCGACTCTTTCATGCGCACCGGTGTTTGTTTAGGTGCTCCTCGTGCTCCTTATTGGGGTTTATGAGGTGCACCTTAAATTTAAGAGCATAAGGAGCATAAGGTACAACTGTAGTGAAAGCACCTCGCGTAAGGTGTAAGGCTCCTTGTCCCTTGCTCCTAAATCCAAGGTGCACCTTAAGGAGCATTTCTTGTGAAATAAGCCCCAGATGATACTGGGCGCGCGCGATATCAAAGTGCGCTGATGAAAATAAATTGCACGGATAATGTTTCGCTTCGCTTTCCCGCCGTTCACAACTACGGCTCGCTGTTGCGCTTGAGGAATTGTTAGTGGGGAAAGATTGCAAGATTAATGATCATGTGTTTGTTCATTGTAGTCCTCGGGGTAGTCGCGGGTAGGGTAGAAGTCAACATTAGAGTTACAATTTCGCTTCACATTGATCTATGCGACGGCATCCCCTGCGATCTCCTAATACGCCTCGGAAAAATTCCAATCAAACAAGCGGAGCGACGCAGACACCCAAAAGAGGGCCCTGTGGTGGCAAGGGAGGGCGTATGGCCAAGGTGGCAGGAGAAGAACATTCCGAGTCGAGCTCCATCGAGTGGACAACTGAATTGGAATCGTCGCTGTCATCCTCCTCCTCGGCGTGCGACTCCTACTATGTTCGGGAGGTTTGGGCGAATGACGTTGAATATGAGTTGCGAGTGATGGAGAAGTTGGTGGAAGAGTACCCCTATATAGCAGTAGATGGATGCTTCCCGGGGGTGGTGGCAAGGCCCACTGGTAATGGCATTAAAGGGCGCGTGACGGTAGCGGCTGTTGTTTATGCTTAGGTCCGTTCAAAAATGATACGGAGAGAAATTATGAGATTATCAGAACTAATATGAGCCTCGTAAAAATACTACAACTAAGTCTGGCATTTTCTAATAAGGACGGTGAAGTGGCTGGGCATCCTGAAGACGTTCGAACGGCGAATGGAAGTGACCGGCCTCCCCCAGCTTGTGTGTGGAAAATCAATTTTCACTTCGACGTTCGGAAGGATATTTATTGCGCCGAGACGTTGAAGCTGCTGAGGGAACCTACAAAGAAGGGAGGTGCGGGCATTGACTTGAAGGCGCATCTGAAGCGGGGCGTGAGCGTGGAGAGATTCTCGGAGCTGATCACGGGAAGTGGCCTGGTGCTGTCGCGTGATGTAACGTGGATAACTGCGGCTGGTGGTTTCCTATTCGCCGGATTGGTGAAAATGCTGTCCGGCCAGGCCCTACCGAAGGCTGAAGTGGAGTTCTCGGAGATGTGTTATGAGTACTTCCCTCACATCTGGGATATGAGGGTAATCAGGAGAGGTTCGTCGAGGTGTGGTATGAGGTCTCGTGGAGGAGGGGTTCTGCACGCATGCGCATCATCGGAGAAGGCAAATTTGGAGGTTGAAACGCCGTCCACTTTAACACTTCTTGAGAACTTCTTCCGATATGATGGCAGAAGTGGTAGAATGATGAGTTCCTCTTCCGACGACTCTTCCGAGTCGCCTCCAGCAGTGCTCCCTTTTTCTGCTATGCAGAGGAGGGCGACTACGACGAAGTGGTGGCTAGCGAGTGGTGGTGGCGGCAAGGAGATCAGGAGGAAATCTCAATTTGGTTTAGAGGAGTTCTCTGCGTTGAATTTAGAGAGTCCTGCATCGGTGTGGCAAGATAAAGGAGAGGAGGTAATTTCGTGGCGCGTGAAGCTGAGGACGGAAGTGGAGGCAGAATATGAGGAGGCGACCAGTGAGAACAAAGAAGGTTCTGCTGATGCCATCACGACACCCGCTATGAAGAAGGAACAGCCGAATGGAGTTGTCCAAACGCCGCCTCCACCACCCCCTGGCCGTCCACCTCCTCTAGATGCTCGTTCGACTTCGGGCTCTAACGCGTCACCGGTTGATCGTGGAGAGGAGGAAGGGCCGCCTCGCTATAAGCATCCACTTCGGCACCCCAAGTATCCGAATGGGGCCCCTCCTCCTATGTGTGGGGTTATTAGTTATAAAGGGCCGCCGCCGCCACCCATTGGTACACGCAAGTGGTTACCGGCGCCTCTGAAGAGAGGGCAACCGTTTATGCATTGGGGATGCGTACAGCTACCAGATGTGGCGTCAAGTCACTATCGTCGGCGTAGGGAGAGACCCATGGGGATCTCAGGGGGAGGGAAGGATGTTGGGATAGGAGGTCACCGTCGGGGAGTGCGGAGCTGATTCCGTATGTATTTTGTTGTATGTAACATTGGGATGGTGACACTGCTGGTGTCACCATCATGTTGGTATTTTGGTATTCGGAGGGACGGGAGGAATGTAGCGAACAGTGATGGGTGAAGATACGAAGGAGGTTCGCATTGCTGGCCTCGTTGGTATCGATTCTGGTTGCCTATGGGATACATTTCGAGTGTCTCCTCCAGAGGGTAGATGTTGAGTTTGAGTATTGTTGTTGTCGAAGGAAGACAGCTCCTGGCCGATCGGAGGAGGGGAAGTTTAATAGTTGACTGGATGGTTTCAGTGAGCGAGATGTGGTGGAAACATGGTATGGTAAACGGCAGAAAAATCAGTAATGGCATTATTAGAAAATACTAAGAGGCCATCATATAGTACCGCACTTGGTGTATCGCAGGGAGGGGACGGGTGCATGCCTGTGGTACTGGAAGTGTTGGAAAATATGTATATGGTCAACTACGTGTGTTGGTGACAATATGGAAATTATGAGGAATTTTGTTGAGGATTCTCGACCTGAAAATCACCCTGCTCAACGTCCTCGGTAGTCGTCAATCGAGATGATCCGTGAGATGTTATGTTCTGTAATCGGGCAGTAGTTGAGCATTATGTCTCTTTAGCTGAGTCACTCTGTATACACCATTGCGATCTTAGCATTCCCACTCATCTATTTAGAGTAACTGAGAATGGTTGCTATGATTGCACTCTTGAAGTTATTTGTGCCTAGTTGGGACAGAGATGTGCACGCGTGCACTAAAAGCAGAGCAGCACGCATGCTCATTCGAGGCCTATGCTTAGACTAGCGGTGAGGGACAGAGTTTGTCAAAAAACTGTTTGAACTCTCCCTCCCATCTCATTGGAACAAATAGGGGGAAGACGCAGAAAAACATTGTTTGTGCATTTCTAGCCGAAGTCGTGGGTGAATCTCCAAGAAGTAACGAGGAAGCTATTGAGGTGAACGAAGAAAAGCAGAGATATATACATTAGCACTGGTGATTTGTATGTGCCGATACAATGTTGAGTTGTTCATTGGCGACCATAAAGTGTGCTTGGAGTGGTATCGTGTACAACGGCTATGTCAAGTTGACATTCTTAATGACTGCTCCTAGAGGGAAGACTCGGGCAGTGGAGAGGGAAGGAGGAGGTTCTTCTGGCGGGTTGAGGCGGAGCGAAGCTGGGTCAATGGTTTTTGTACTGCCGTTGAGGAATAGAGTGCTGTTCCCGGGACTGAGAGCACAGGCATTGGTAGTAGTGGGGAGGGGTAGTATAAGGCAGGATGTGACGGAAATGTGGTAGGTACATAAATCGGTTTTTGAGGCACTTGTAGCCCATCAGAAAACAGTATCGTTGGAAGATTCTCTGAGCCACGACAAGCTCGTCACTGTTGGTGTTAGAAACAGCGATAGGGAGGGTTCCAAAGGAGACGAGAAGCTGTAGGCGCCAGTGTTGGAATGTATATACGCTGACGTTCCTCAGCTGACCTCGGGAGTTTCCTCGCTACTTGCAGGAGTTTATATAAGAATTTGGGTAGAAATGTTGAAGAAGTAACAATAATTTCCCAAAATGTCCTCAGAACTTCCATATTGTCACCGACGCATGTCGTTGACCATGTGCATATTTTTTCACACTGTTAGGCTTGTAGTAGAGTGAATTAGGATTGCTTTACTGTAGACTATAATGAAGTTTCATCCGTTTTACGTGAGGTGGCGTAAATCTCTGTGAAAAACGCAATATTCGCGGTGATATGCAGTAGTCGTGAAATATGTTTTTCACTGGTGTTTTTCATATCACGGGTGAAACTCCAATATTGGTAGGAATAGTAACCCGTAACAATACTCCTCCGCGTGGACGGGAGATGCCATGAGTATTCTCGTGATTTACATGGCTTCAACTGATTGCCTCTTCGTCTCTCCACGTCGTTTTGCATTTTCGCATTGATCTTGCTGATTTTCGTATAAAGAGTGAAAGTATGTAGTTAAGCTCGAATGGTTTCTGTGAAGTTCCACCCATAGTAATAATATCATTTCGAATCAAGATGATTCCTTATTGTAGATGTGTATTATTGATCGTATTGGATACGTTATAGTCGATCGTTGGTTCCGTAAGTGGTCAAGCGGTAGAGCGTTATGCTTACTACCATGAGGTCCAGGGTTCGATCCTTCGCAGGGGTCTTTTTCACACATCCGCCGGTCGGCACTCTCTTTTGGTTAGGTACACTGTGGGCACACTCTGCCGTATGGTATCCAGTAGTGTAGCGCCTCACACCCGGGCCGGGGAGGTTGATGAAGGGGATCAAATCGTGTTGACACTAGAAGGACTAGATAGGTGGGAGCTCGAGGCTTCCCAGTTCCTATTAGATGCATCTTCAGGGTGGAACTGGAGACCTCTGGTGCGGCACTGGTGTGGGACGGCTCAACGGAGGGAGGTACTTAAAGGAGTTTCGAAACTTCAAGTTCTGTAGCATTCCCAAGTCGCAAAATTTTCCCCTTCGTTGAATCGAACTCCTAAACTTTCAATTGAGCCTGGTATAGTATTAATCTTGTTGGTATTTTAGTAAAACGATGCGTGAAATGTTAACGAGAACGTAAAGCATCGACCGCATGGACGAAAATCTGAACTTGTTGGCAAAGCATTAATTCGATCTTCAAAGGCTGTAGTATCATGTTAACGCCATGGAAGTGAAACTCTCCTTACTGTGATGATCGCGTACCTATTCACCAGGCTGAAGGTTCGTTACTGGTGATGCTACTACGCCGTAGGGGTATATGGTTTCTATAGTGATCGATGGGGGAGGTCTGATTGGGCAGGAGGGAGGATGCTGTGCTTTAGGGGAGCGTAATGTGGTGCACGGCAAGGTTTGGGTATCTCGCGTGCTTGGGAGTGTCCAGAAGGGGCCGACGAGGGAACTGGAAGCATTAGCGGGTAGGAAGGGCAGTTTTCAATAGTCGAATAGTGGACCGTCTGGCATTACTCACTTTTTGTAGCTGTTGTCAGCGACCATCCTTGATAAGCTGCAATGGTCTGTAGTCGTTATAGGGGCTGGGGAAGCAGGGGAGTTATATCGTCGATTGGAAATAGTAGAAAGTGTCCCTCCCGATGAGTGACGTGCTTTCAGATGGTCTCCAGCGGAAGGTGGCTGAGCTGTTTCAACTGGAAAAGAGGCTTCAGGTTGGGGGGAGGGTGTTATAGTTGGGTTCAATACTGTTGGTTTAGGGCCTCGCTCATGGCGGTAAAGCTGGGGGGTTGCCGGGGCCTTTGGGAGGGCTGATAACGTCTTTGTGGAATAGTGGACGGGAAGGGGGTGGGGCGGCAGGGGAGAGCGTACTAGTTTTAAGGATGGTGTGGTCAGGAAAGGATAGAGAAACTGCCATCACTGAGGTCCCGATGAAGGCTGACAAGTGCTCGTTGTTTGCCGATATCATATGTGCAACGTTGAAGGTGAGTATGGAAAAATGCCGCTGGGTGGATTCGAACCTGTGTGACACTGCCACCCCCGATCTGCACTTCTCGCATGCGGCCTTACGTAGAAGTGCCCCAGCTACCAGTTGGGTTGGGGGAAGTGTCGATGGTGTGGTATATCAAGGCCGTAGGATGTCTGAATTCTCAGGATGTGCCGATGGTCGCTCGACAGCAGGCTTTGGAGTGCCTCTGCATTGAAGATAGGCTGCACATGGCGACGAACATGGTGGCGGAGCGGAGAGAGGCGCTGTTGGTGACGAGCCGAGTTAGAGTGGGAACTCGTCCTACTGGGATGGTCTTGTCCTTGTAATGGAGCTTTCAGGGTAACATGAGGAAGCAAGCGGACATGGACGTGCGGGAGAGGGTGATAAGGAGGCAGATCGAAGAGCTCCAGAAGGAGCTTAGGAAAATCAGTAAGGAAAGGGCCCGTTGGAGAGTGTTCGTGATGGTAGTGTTAGGTGGGGGGAATGAGGCTGCCGAGGACGAGGTTACGTCCATCGTGAACAAACTGGCCGCTATCCCCCTGCCTGAGGACATGAGGAGGGTAGGGCTGTTGGGTTAGGGAGTAGAAAGGAGGGTGATGCTGTCTAGGTATGCGATAGGGAGATCCACAAACTGCAGAGTACGCCGACGACTCATCCTGACTATACTGTGACCAGGTTAGATCTGGGAGGGGTCGTACATAGTAGTGCTGTTGTTGGCGACCCCTTATAGGCTTTGGCTTGGGAGTGATAAGCGTGAGTATTTCAGGACCTACTTGGAGACGGTGGCCTCTCTGCCGTGGTCATTGGAATGCTCTGAGGCGGTCATCGATCTCGATAGAGCTAGGGAGGTCCTTGAGAGAGATCACTTTGGGATGACTAAGGTAGTGACAGTTGTATCACCCCCACTGGTTATCATAGATTTTTGTAGTGAATCGTTTGAGTAGGAAAGCATAGCTCTTGTAACTGCAGAAGATGATCAGCAACTTCAGTTGAGATATTTTACAGGTCAAGAAAAGAGTCAGGGAGTTCTTAGCAGTGATGAAGCTGCACCAAGCGAGGGGCGGCTCTCAAGGCGATGAGTAACGAGGAAGCATTCTGCAATGGTCCCCTTCAATTCTCATCTCATGTTAGGGAAGCGAGAGTGGCTGAGGGAGAAGGTCGAGACGTGGGGTTACCGGTGATCAACAGGAGGGGTCCTCCTGGACCGGTCGTGTGCCTCGTGGGCCCCCCGGGTGAGCACGTTGGTGTGAGAGTGGATCTGGTGTACTGGTGTGGTTAGAGGGTTGCACATGTCTACAATGAGACTCTTGAAACATGCCACTCTACGGCACTTGACCATTTTGTCTCTGGAGTAGTTCATGGAATATTGTATTGCTCTGAATGGGCAACTGTGTGTCGATGTAGGTGTTGGTAAGACTTCACTGTGTAGGAGTATAGCAGAAGCTCTGGGTAAGAGGTTCTGTCGAGTATCATTGGGAGGGGTACGCGATGAGGCGGAGATACGCGGGCATAGGTAGGCTCTATGGGGCGGTGATCATGATGAGCGTCATATTCTGAAGCCTCGCGACGCGGTCGGTGAGGATGGATTTAAAATATAGATGCCAATCTGAAATATCATTGTCGTCATCATCATAATTCTTATTGTTTGTGCATGTTGTTGTCGTGTGCCTCAGACGCACCTACATTGGTGCCATGTTGGGTACTGTCCTGCAGGAGTTGGCTCGATGTGGTAGTCGGGAGTGTGTTATGCTACTCGATGAGATTGACAAGGTTGCCCAACCAGGGTTCAACTCCAATGCGCAGGGTAAGAACCATGACGACGCCAACTGCGGCGGCGGCTGCTGTTCCCAGAAGTTACTCGTCCTCGTGCTAGTCACCCTTTCTTGGTCACTCTAGTGCAACAACAATCAACTTTAACATAGAGGCCAGTGTGGAAATAGACGTTCGCTTTCCTCACCTGAGCTCGGAAGTTTCCTCACTGGTCATAGAGTTCGGGTAGAAGTGTACACAGATCAACGAGAATTTCCCGAAATTTCCGCACAATTTTCATATATTTACCAACCATGAGTTCATTTTCCCACACTAATAGATGTTCGGACTGTTCTCATCGCTTATAATATGGTATGCATGCTAATACTGTCGGTACCTCTATGGGGACCCACTGAGTAGAACTAAGCGTCCTTGCTGGTCATGGAGTCCATGACCATGACATGACAAGTCCATGACATGGACCATGACTAGGTCCATCTTTGTTGTACCTTGTATTCGATTTTGATAGTCCAGCATGAAAGAATGTTGTAACTTCGTTGATGATGTAATGTAATACCTCGAATGTTCGAGGTTTCATAGTCCTAATCGTCGAATTAGCGGAGTTTCATCACCTGTTCATTTTGAACTATCAAACTCGAACGGAACCAGGCTGCTGGTTTTAGCTGCACTCCTGGAGCTGTTGGACCCCTCACAGCACGCCACCTTTCGTGACCACTACCTTGGAGTTCCGTTCGACCTCTCCTGTGTGACGTTCATATGCACGGCCAACTCGGCAGGTGAGCGTGTGAATAGTCAGCGGTTGGAGATTCTCTCAGGGGAAATGAGCCGCCCACTCATCGATCGGCTGGAGATGGTGGAATTAGAGAGTTACACGTTGGAGGAAAAGCGAGAGATCGCCAAAAGGTGAAGAGTCAAATCGATCACGAGGGCGAGCGCGGTTGATGATAGGCATCTCATCCCACGACAGTTAGAGTACCACTGCCTGGCTCCTGGGTCGGCCAAGATAGAGGACGATGCGATAGACTACTTGGTGGAATGCTATACGAAGGAGGCCGGTGTGAGGTGAGCAGGGTGACCATGATACCATTGAGGGTTCCTTCCTGTTGTGCCTCGGTACTTGGCGTTGTACATGGTGAAAGTTGGAGGATTTTTGGTATTGGACAGTGTGGTTCGTGTTGATCAGATCTCTCGAGCGGAGGCTGGGCGATGTGTGTCGATATGTTGCTATTGAGATGGTTGAGAATAAGAAGGATAGTCCCTCGCCTTTCACCGTAAGGTCGTTGATGATGATGATGCGCTTGAGAACGACCTGCCTTTTTCTGAGGGTCGAGCACTATAGCAATTCCAGGTCAAATTTATCTATTACCGACAAATTTAATTTTTTACACATTTTATTGATGTTTCACCTTGTTTAAACTAAGCTCCTGAACTTTCAAGTAAACCGGGTATAATATTAATTTTTTTGGTATTTCGTGAAAGCCCCGAAGAAAAAACTAAAAATGTAAATGACTTAAATTTTTCGGTAGGAAAATCAGTTCGACTTGGAAAAGCCGTCTTATTTTACAATTAGTGGATCTAAAGTTGCGTTGATCCTAGATACAGCAGAGGGATATCCCTGATATTCTCGGACCGGAGACTTTCGAGTCCCCTGCGAGGCTGGCGAGGAGGCGGGCGAGGCAGCAGCACTCACGAGGGCAACAGATAGGAGTGAGCGTACACTCCTGTTGGTCATCACTCCCGAACGTCCTTTTAGGTTGCTCTAGGCCTGGCAGTGACTGCTGGTGGTGGTGACGTGTTAGAGATAGAGACGACTCTAACGAGTAGTTCTGCTAGTGTTGGTGCAGGGACGGGCAAGGTGTCCATCACTGGTGAATCACCTTAGAAGGGTTTCTCGCAAATAGTCGTTGTTATGACAGGTCAACTCGGTAAGGTGATGCAGGAGTCGGTAAGCGCGGCATTGGCTCAGCTCAAGGCCAGGGTATATGCGGTGCAAGATAGAGCGATGGCTGAAGGTGAAACACCTGCGTGGTGGTAATTTCGTGGCGCAGTGACGGAATCGTTGAGTACGTGTGTGATGGACTCGTTGTAGTCTTTATATCTTATAGAGGCGGTAGGAATAACCAGGATGTAGCAAAACTCTGCAAGACATGTGACATGTGCCACACGTATCCGTACCACATTTCCTACACTTCCTGTTAGGAACCCCCTCCTCCATGGATAGTATCTTCCGCTTGATCGAGCCAAAACTACTAACCTCGGCCGACGTCCATGTCCACTTCCCAGCTGGAGCTGTTCCCAAGGATGGCCCTAGTGCTGGTACCCTCTAGTGCATTTCAAGCCTCCCTCAACACTCCACTTAGGCGTGGCTGTATTCCTCGCACTAGTGTCACTATTCGCGGCAATACCCGTCCCGTCGTCCATCGCCACCACAGGTTAGCTACTGTTGTTGTTATGGTATATCTCTACCGTGCTTGTTCAGGGGAGATCACTCTTACTGGGCAAGTCCTCCCAGTGGGGGGTGTGCGAGATAAGGTGCTCGCAGCTCAGAGGGCCGGCATCGACACGGTCATCATTCCCCGCTCGAACGCTAAGACGTGAGTCACCATTTTCTCGACGGTGTCGGACTAGACCCTTGCAGGTTACGAGCGTCGTTGCCGTTGTCGGTGACGGACTCAATAGAACTAGTCTTTATAGATCACGTCGACGAGGCTCTACTACGAGTTTTCAGGCCTCAAGTCCAGACGCATAGTAGCGACAATAGAGCACCGCCGCTGAGGCGGCCTTCTACTATAGCGACCGTATCGCGGTCAGCATTGTAGCACATGGTTTTTGATTATAATTTTTCCTCGAACTTGCTGTTGAGTTAGTGCTACCCTTTACTAACACGCGAGTACCACCTGGGGACGATAAGGTGTCCATATTTTTGACGCTTGTAAACTTATACCATTCGATTCGGTGGACTTCACTGTATCAGAAGATGCCAATATATGTGTTATATGGATGCTGTATATGTTCTTCATCGACTGCCCCGCAAGAGCGTGCAAAACGCGTTCTTTCAACTGTTCAACTGTCATTTCTTGAATTTGAGATTGATGTGGTATGAGCTTGGGAGCCGCAGCTTCTAGTTGGTCACGGTTGTTTCCTTGGAGCACTTCCCCGTGTGGCTCCATCGTTGATGGTGTTGTGGAGGTACTTAGAAAGTTTCTTCGAGGCCACCGGTCCCAGCGTGATTATCAAGCTTCGGAAAGAAGTCGAGAGGTGTCCATTGCGAAAAACCTCCACAAAGATTTTTACCCGAGCAACAACGTGAAGGTATCAACTATCGGCCTCGCCTGCCCTGGTTTAGTGTGTCTAGCTCAGGTGGATTTGGTCACTCACTGTCGTGCTACTAGTGCTGAGCATGTTGTTGTAGGGCCTCGCCAGGATTGGTCAGGTCGCATGGTTGAGTGGCTCTGCGGGCGAGGCTTCGCTTAACTGGTTTTTAAATATCCCACTCCTGGGCGCGTGGGCCTGGTGGGCTGGAAGACTGAAGGTGCCTGTGACTTCCAGCTTTCAAAGCATCGAGTTAGTCCGACGAGCGCCTCTGTTGGCGTCGCCTACGTCGCGCTCCGGCGGGCGCGTGCCGGCGATGCGACGCCGCGCACGGTCGGCCAACCGATGCTTGCTCCCGGGAGTGGCGGGCTGGGTTGAAAGAAATTATACACGGCATACGCCGTCTGGTTCTGTGAAGCTTCGGCGATGTTCGGCCGCTCGAGTCGTATCACGACGCACCCAGGATAAGGGTGGAGGATGCACCGCGGATGATATGCACGTGTGTGACGGAGACGCACTGTGTGACGCGCCTTCCGTATCGGTATTTAACTCGTGTTAACTAGTTAACACTTTAAGGCAATGCCAACACTGCCTACTGAGTTGTCGATGTTGTTGTCGATGTTGTTGTTGTTGTTGGTGTCGTTGTCGTTGTCGTTGTTGGTGTTGGTTGGTTTTTTTGGTGTTGGTTTTGTTGTTTGTGTTGTTGTTGCTGTTGTTTTCGTGGTTCACCCCTATGGCTGTTCCCATTGCAAGAACATACGAGGCGCTACGCTGTAGCGCCTACAGTCGTGGCTGTGACAAGAGACCACAACCACAAGGGTACCGGTCCCCAGTGATCAGGGAGCACTACCATTATTTTTGCTAAGCTCCGTTGGGCATTTCACGATGAATGACATGCTCGACTTCATTAATACCATCTTTATGTGATTTGTGTTCTCCCCAGACGATATTTTCATCACACAGTTCGACCTTTGCAATGGGATGCCATCTCTCAAGTCTCGACGATGCGGATGTGTCGACGCACGCAACCCATGAAGCAAAATCGAGTCAGAATGACAGTCGTCGTCGTCGGAAGGCCGGTAGGACTCAACCAGCTCCCCTCCGCTTTCGATTTGGAGGCGTTTGGCTAGCAACTGAGTTTCGTGGCGCGCGAAAAAGTAGCTTGTTGTTATCCCTGTTTTAGTATCCTTGGACATTCCTAGGAGGTCACTATCGGCACAGCCCCAGCGTCGAAAAGTGCGGGCCAACTCGTTGGTAGCCCAAATTACGACGGATGAGCGGGGAGTGCGCACAGCGAAGGTTATCCGCCAAGTGCCTATAGAGGCAAGATACGAAATTCATCGAGATATGGTCTTTGGTGAGTGAAATACAAGGGGAAGGGTAAGTAGTGTACCCTTGAAGGTACCGGAATGAACGGAGCTGTTGTTATGGCTAAGCATCGTGACAGTGGGAGGGTGTGCGCAGTGAAGACGTTCTCTACGCTTGGTCTGGATGCGGCTCGATACCGAGTAGGACTGTCTTGAATGATTGCACTTCGTCATCATCGATAGTTGTGGTTGTTGTTGCTTTCAGCGGCTTTATAACGAAGTTGACATTTTCTTACGGATGGACCATCCCAACGTGTGTAAACTCCTTGAGGTCTACGAGGATGATGCCCACGTATATTTAGTGATGGAAGCATGTAAATGATTCCTTCCCTCCTCGGGATGTTCCTATCTCCCTTTGACAGGCACAGGGAAGGACCTGTATGATCGTTTAGCAGTACAGAAGCGCTTCACAGAGGAGGAAGCAGCTGTGACGGCCAAGCAAATGCTCGAAGCAGTACACTACTGTCACACCCACGGCGTATGCCACAGGTGAGGGAAACCAGCATCCATCGCGGCTCCCTTGCTATGGCATCATGTTGTGGTGAATGATACTCAGTTCACGCTGGTCAGGATGATGGGTTAATGTCAGGGACCTCAAGCTGGAGAATTGGGTGTACTCTGAGCCCAGGTCGGACGCTCCTTTGCGGTTGATCGATTTCGGCATAAGTCAAATCGTTTCCACGTCAAAGGAGAAGATGAGTGACACCCACGGAACTGTTTACTATGTCGCTCCCGAGGTGGCAGGCGGGTGGCTATGCGCTGTCGATTGCTCCTGTCCTTCAGATTCTCATGGGCGACTATGATTTCCGTTGTGATGTGTGGTCCATCGGTGTAATTGTTTACATGCTACTATCGGGTTCGCCTCCTTTCACTGGAGAAGACGCCCGTGAAACTGTCCGAAATATCTTCCAAGCCAGTCTGTGCTTCGACGGTGAGTTGCGTCCGCAACTAGCCTCGCCGATAGCCGTGCTGCTAGGTCCTCGATGGGAAGGTGTATCCCCCTTAGCTAAGGAGTTCATCTCTAGCTTGCTTCAGAAAAATCCCAGCGATCGTCCAAGCGCTTTGGAGGCATCCAAGAGCGAATGGATCAGAACCTTCGTGACCATCCAGGAACCCAAGTCGGACTTGATAGACTCGGGCCTGCTGGAGATCCTTTGCCAATTCGCGAAGGAGAGCGACGTGAAGCGAGCGGCTCTCAGCCTCGTGGCCTTCAGTATCAATCCCAAGGTTGTCTGCGATGCTCTAGCTGACGAGTTCCGTTCACTCGACTTTGACGAGTCTGGCACAATACGTCTGGGGGATCTCACCAAGGCTCTTACGGAGCGGCTCGGTTTAGATGCTGTGGAAGCGGAAAAGATCTTCCGAAAGCTCGACCAAACTGGCGACGAAGAAATCCATTATTCGGAATTCCTCGCAGCGTGTTTGCACATCGTATCACATTGACAGAGCAGACGTTCGGGATGCTTTCTATCGTCTCGATGTGGACA